CGGGGGGGGGGGGATAACAGTGGAAGGGTTTCTAGTGTCCTGGCCCCACTGCTGGACCTTCTGATGGGCAGCTGGTATTTTTGGCCACTGTGTGACAGACTGTTGGACTGGATGGGCCATTGGCCTGATCCAACAATGGCTTCTCTTATGTTCTTATGGATTGGGAAAACAGCTGTAAAACAGACGTACAGGGAACACCAAGGTTCTCACAACAGCAGACATTCTCTCTCTTCCCACACTCCTTAAAAGTAATGCTAGGCCAATGCTTGGAGAGGTGGGCCATCCTCCAAAAACATCAGACACAAGACAGAACTACCAGAGCGGGAGACACCCTGGCTTCTCACACACACTTCCCTCGGAGCATACAGGGCATGTTATTTTAGTGCTGTGCCTTAGCTGGCAGTAAGGCAAGCACAGCCCAAAAATGCAAAGGGCAAGCCAGATGGCCAACAGCAAACACGGCTCAGTTAGTCATAGCCTGCCTGGCAACAGCAGCCCTTCCTTAAATGGAAGTGACTTCTGGGAAGAGAGCTCTCTGCAAGCAATCGAGACGTCTAAAAAAAGGAAACGCTACTAGGAAGATAAATAATGCCCCTCCTAAGCAGAAACTGTCCTGAGAGAGACTGCCAACTGGACAGAAATTCACAAAAAAACAGAAGCAAGCCATATTAGTCCTAATTCACTTGCCTGAATCAATGGGTTAAAGAAAATGAGTATAATCTAGCTAAAGTCCTGTTGATTTCCAGAGACAGCTGTGTAGGGCCTTTCAATCCTTATTTCAAGAGCAGACAAGCATTTTTTGCCGTTCAGTCCCTCCAGTAAACAGTCCTTCCTCCTGCTCTCCATGGCCTAAAGCGTGGTCTGTGTGTTCTGAGCCCCTTAGCAGAGATGGGTTTGGAGGAGCTTTCCTCGCTGCAGTGGATTTAATTATCTACAGGTCTCCTTTCGATCCTTATGGTTTATTACAACTCTAAACTCAGTTGTATTTGGTAAGCCTGCCAAAGCTGTGTGAAGATTACAAGTCAGACCAAACAGTTATGATCGCCTTCTTCGTACTGTACATCAAAGACCACTTGAGATTGTGTTCCCTTGTAGCTTTTAACTTTTGTTTCACTTTAAACAAGCGAAAGCCACCTACTTTCAATATCATCCATGTGTGCCTGAAGAGTTCTTGCAAGATTAATAAACTAGAAGCAATACAGAAAGAAGGCAGTTTAAAAGTTGCAAAGTTTCACAGGGCTCTAAAATTATTAACAAAACCTAGTAGCACACTGATGGCCTTAGCGTTTCAAGCAGTCTGTTGTTCACCTATAGGTGAGGCATTCCCACTTGCCCCCAAACAAATTCACAGATTGCAACTTTCTCCAACGACAAAGAAAAAGCTGCAGCAATTGTGGAACTGTCTGTATTGAAAATCCAGCAGTTCATATATCACAAATGAATCAAAATGAGGAGAAAAGTACTTGGAAAGGGGTATATAGAGAACATAATCCCCCAGATATTTGAGTCTGGTTCACTATACTTAAGGACATAATATTCCAGTATGCCAATAATGGAGAATTTAAGAGAATATCATAGCTCTAAAGTTACAACAGTAGAACAGCCAAGGTCCATTTATTATAGCCTTCCTCCTCACCCCAGTCTTAAGTGGAAGACGGTCCAATAGTAGGATCCCATCACATACAAGCAGAAACCACTTAGCGTGGCAAATGCAGGTCACTGGTCTTTCTCCAAAGCTAAATCAATCACAATACATTGCAGAGGGGTCCTCCAAAAGGACCCCTTGCCCCCCATTTGGGGCTTTACAAGGAACATGAGGGGTCGCAGTTGGGATTTCGGTCAGCCACCCCTTCCTGCACACGCAGCCCTTTCTAGCTCAAGCAGAGTACACCCTGCTGAGGGGAAGCATGCTAAACCAGCCTCACCATCTGCTTCTCCAGCCAAAGCACCTCCCCATACTTACCCGGACACGAGTGTTGGCCTCGCTTGTAGTTCCCAGCATATCTGAAAAGCGCTGTTCGCACAAGTGTAACAACACTACAAGGTAAAGCCCAGAACTGATAAATTCATAGTCTGCCTGCAAATTAAAGAACAAGTATTGTCAATTCTTTAAAACTGTCAGAAATTCACAACTAATGCTACATTATGCTAGTTATTTGGGGCCAGTGCACACACACACCCAGGAACATCATTACTTAAGCAATACCCATGAAAAAGCTCTCAGCATGATTTAACAAATTCTTCTTTTGAAAAGAACTGCTTTTGTCACAAAAGAACTCATGCTCAAGTGCACTGGCGCAGTATCCGGCTACATCTGTGTGAAAGATGCCACCTTGAGAAACCAGTGTGAAGCTTGAGACGCATGTTAATTAGAAGCAAGTTTTAGGAGCTTTTTATTTCCTCAAGAAAGAATGCCTGTGACAGGTATCCAAAGCTCAAAATCCAATAGTTATTTTAAATAGTTACAGTGATTAATGGCAATGTTAAAGGGACAGAAGCAAGTACGCAGTTAACTCTTCATAGCATTTATTTAGCATTGGATCCATGACACAAGTGGTTCAAACTTCTCAGTAATAAAGATGCAGGGCTTACAGCTGAGTGATTAGTAAAAAAGGAGAAATCCACTGTAGCCAATGGGTTCATGGGTCACCTCAAGGCAACGGTGCGGCCTTAGTTTCTTCTGTCGTCCCCCCCCCCCAAAAAGCTTTCAGGTTTACCACACATTTCTACAAAATCAAGGGTGGGGGCAGGGTTCAGTGACGCATCTGCTTTAGGTTTCAGGTTCAGTCCTTTGCATCTCCAGTTAAAAAGATCTAGTAGTCAAGGGAGTGATGAAACCTCAGAGGGGCTCGAGAGGGCCTGCAAGTCCAAGTAGACGATGCCAACTTATTAAGAGACCAAAGGCTGCCAATTTTATGTAGATATACGTTTTAGATATTTAAACCCTATTTTAGCCAACATGACGGACCTTCCTGATGCTTTAAAAGTGCACCGTCTTCTGAATGACTCTGCTACTGAAATATCAGTGAAGGTAGCCATGTTTTTACAATCCGCTATAAAGCTACTATGCAATGTTATGTTACTTGCAAAATACTTGATTTTATATGTATATTTTCTTATAGTAATCCTCTTTTAAGGTATGGTTTTATGCCAATAAAGGCTTATTGACTGACTGACTGACTGACCGAACTATGCCAATAAAGGCTTACTGACTGACTGACTGACCAGACCAAAGGTCTGTCTTAGGTTTAGGGCAGCTTTGTGTATTGAAATCCTAACCTATTGCTACACAAAATTTCCTAGTGCCAATGCTCGGGAGGCTGGATTATGTTATAGGAGGCTGGATGAAGCATTCACATCAACTACTAACATCCCAGCACAGTGGGTTTGACATCCTATCTTCTGGTCTACAGCTGAAGGCTCAGGTTTCCTCTGTGGCACATAGCACCTTTTAACAGCACTGGCTGATACACCAGTTACAGCTTGTCCTTGAAAAGCATGATTTAGCCACAGTGATCCATGCTCCAGTCACACCTACATTAAGTTAAACATACGTACTTCATACAGGGCTGTCTTTGAACAGAAATTCCAGGTGGTCCAAAATGCAGCAGCCAGCTTGTCACAGGCTGGATACAGGGATCATATCACATCACCCCTGTGCTGAAAGATTTGCACTGGCTGCCCATCTGTTTCCAAGCATAATTCAAAGTGCTAGTTCTTACCCTTTGAAGGCCCTGAACAGCTTGGGGCCAGGCATATCTGGAGGACCACTGCTTCCCGTGCTGTTCAGCCCATCAGGTCAAATCTGTCTCCCAAGCCCTATTCTCTGTGCCCCGCCTTCAGAAGTGAAACGAGTGGCAACCAAAGTCAGGACTTCTTCAGTGGTGGTTGTGTTTTAATAGCTTTATTATCTTAGTTGTAAGCTGCCTCAAGCAGGTCATAACATTTATTTATTATTACTTTTTTAGAAAATGTATCTCCTTAACTCCAACAAGGAAAGCACTGATCCTATATTCTTCTACTACAGTAAAACAGAAGATACTAGCTCATGCAGAACAATACAAAGTATGTTCAATCAAAAGCCTCAAAGTTCAGAGGTGCTTCCTCCCAAGGGAATAAAATTTCAATCTATAGTCCTCCAAGAGGAAGAAGTATCTCCTGCTAAAAGATACAGCGCTGGATCCAGAGAAACATCACAAAGGCAACTGGCAGACTGGATCTTTCCCTGCCTCCCTCCCCAAACTCTTTGCAATGAAAACTGTCTGAGAGTTGGGAGAGCATCATGGACAAAATGCACAACAGTGAAGAAAGGATGCCATGTTACCCAATTCTCTCTTGTCCCTGCAAGCTCTATACCATTGTGCATTTTTTCCAAGGGATCTCTCCTCCCACTTCCCAAGGTTTTCCAGGGCTGGTGCAGGAAAGCAGGGAACAATTTGCTTTGACAACTCCTTCTCTGAATGTTTCTACTGGTTCTAAGATCAGCATCTGCTGGTTGTCCCTGAACCAAAGGACATCCGTTTAACCTTGACCAGGGCCTCAGCTTTTTCTGCCCTGGCCCCGACCTGATGGAACATTCTCCCATTGGAGATCAGGGCCCTGCGGGACCTATTACAGTTCCGCAGGGCCTGTAAGACGGAGCTGTTCTGCCAGGCCTTTGGGTGAGGCAGCGGGCATCCCAATTATTCCATCCAGGGGTCGTTTCGTAGAAAAAGAGCTAGGGGAACTCATTAGCATAACTCATTAGCATATGCCACACCCCCTGACATCACCGGAAGTGTGTCGTTTCGGGGGGATCGCGGGGGGTCGCAGTTCCCCCGGGTGAGGTGCAGGGGGCGGGGCACATGACAAAGCCCCGCCCCTTATTCCGGCCACCCCCTTCTTCCAGCCTCATTCTGTTGCCATCCATTTTGTTTATAGCTCAGTTTAAATCTGTTTTAATTCTTTATTACGGATGATTTCATGTAGTGCTTTAATTCTGTGAAATGTTTTAACTTTTGTTATCTGCTCTGAGCTCATTCGCGGGGAAGGCGGAATATAAGCTGAAATTAATACATTTATTTATTTATTTCTTCAATTTATACCCCGCCCTCAAAATAATAAGCAAATAATTCGTAATTTACTTCTGCTTAGCAGTTGCAAAATCTGTGCCTGTTCAATCACCCCCTAGAATACTTAAGAGAAATCAGCAAAAATGATCTGTTCGCGCATATTCACTCTGGCATATTATTTCACCTCTTCCCAAGCCTTAAGGCATGGAATTTTCTTAACATACCCAATTTCCAAATTTATACGCACACTTGCTCTCTAGTAGATTTATACACATATCAGGGGAAGGGGGGCCGAGGACATCTTTGCCAGTTGAACAAGATCTTGGCTGAATTTATGTTCTTCCTCCATGTCAGGTATTTAGCCTGGCCAGGGCCAAAGGACTCTTTGCCCTTAGGTCACACAGCCTGTGGTCCTAAAGTGAGTCAAGCTAATGGATCCAAGAGCAACCCAGCATCTGAAGTGTTACGGTGTTTGTTTATGGGTTTTCTTTTTTTAAATTTGCAAGATGCTTTGAGCCCCCACTGGGGAGAAAAGCAGGGTAAAGCTACCTAAAAGTATCAAATTTGACCTGAACATATCTTTTCTTCTGTAAGAAAGCTTTCCTTCATAATACCAAACTGACACTTACCAAATCAGCCAAAATATACTAACTTGTTCATTTGCATGTGCTCTGTGAAGTTCATGGATATCAAAATCATCAAGATTGAGATGCAGCTTCTCTTTGCACAGTTCACAGGTAGTCACTGCTTCCAATGAAGAACCTGGAGCAACAAGACAGTTAACACTTTTCGCTGGCATTGCCTGGAAGACTTATGTATAACACCAACACTAAAAACAACAGGCTACAGGTGTTTTCACACTTTCAATCCACTTCAGCAATCATCTGCAAGCAGATTTTGCCATTTCACACAGTAAAACCCAGCTGCAAAGTGCACTGTACATAGATTGCATTTGTATGCTAATCTTGCCTTAGTCCAATCTCAGCTATAATCACCCATTTCTTATGCATCTTGATTCTAACTGGTCCTTCCCGACAACCAACCTCACCCCCACCCCCTATATGTAATGGTTGAAGGGCTCTGCATCTGAAGAAGTGTGCTTGCCATGAAAGCTTATATCTTGAATTAAACTTAAAGGTGCCACTGGACTCAAGCTTTGTTTTGTTGCTTCAGACCAACACAGCTATCCACCCGACTCTGTGTTCACAACATACTTACACTATTTATGTACTTCTCATAAACAATTCAGAACTCTGAACATGCCACGATCACAGATACTTTTAAAAATGTTCATTTATACGTTCCCAGACTACCAGTCCAGCAGTTTTACACTTTCCTTTGATGTACTTTCAGCATAAGTTGTGAATCCATGCAGCTAAGCATAGGCACGCCTGTGTTACTTTTCTTAACACAGTGAAAATGCCAACAAGACTGACTTATTCATTTGATGGATAAGTTGTTTGAGAGTGTCATCGTGTGGCAAGATCATCCACCGAAAACATTTACTGCTAGCGTGGTAACTACCGAATCACAACAACTGAACACTGACTTATTCATTTGATGGATAAGTTGCTTGAGAGTGTTATCGTGTGGCAAGAGATCATCCACCGAAAATATTTACTGCTAGCGTGGTTAACTACCGAATCACAACAACTGAGCTCAAGACTGGCTGCCAGCTTTTGCATCCATGACTGTGCGACAAGGAGGTCTACAGAAATGAGAGAACATGGCTACCGAGGTCAAGAATGTTTTAAAGGGTTGTAAAAAAGAACACAAATTAATCCACCTTGTTCTTAGAAGTCAGTGGGTAAGCAAGAGATGTAGGCAGCATCTCCTACGCTGATAGGTGCAGCACAGTCTTCAAGTCCTATACTCTGAGAGATCAGGGAACAGAAGGCCCCACCTATGGCCATGTGGATGGTAAATTTCTACAATGATGTCATTCCAACATACCTGGAGGGTGTGGGGAGGTGTTAAGTGCTGTCAAGTTGCTCTAACTTACGGCGGCCCTTTGAATTAATGACCTTCAAAATGTCCTGTCTTTAACAACCCTACTCAGGTCCTGTAAACTGAAGGGTGTGGCTTCCTTTTTTAAGTCAATCCATCTCATGTTGGGTCTTTCTCTTTTCCTGCTGCCTCCAACTTTGCCTGCCATTACTGTTTTTTCTAGTGAGTCTTAACATACCTATATAGTAGAGCTTTTATAATATAGCCCTATTATACCACATGCTAGCATATATTTAGATGTAATAAATGCCCTCACAGTAATCAGTGAGTAAAAGAACTAAAAAAAAGAGGCAGCAGTGTCATGGGCATTGGTGTAGCAGGACTACAAAAATCGCCTCTCTCTCCACCACTGCCAACCCTGACATAAAAGAATTTGAGGAAACCTATGATAGGTGGAGAACTCATCTCAGAAGAAAATATGTCCTCAGATTTCCAGACCCCATCCTTAATAAGCAGCTATGAAAGGTATTCCCCACTCACAGCTTTCAAAAGCATTAAGAGTGTGAGGCCTTGGACTCAGAGGCATACGTCCTCTAGGCAGACGCACAAACATGCTTAAACCCAAGAAAACAATCAATAGCTCCTCATTTTTCTTCAGCCTACCTCCTAGCACTAACCTGTTCAGGACTCACTCGTATCATGTGTTGCTCTCCACTGCCAAAATTCCCTGGCAACATGAGAGAAACACAGGAACACACAGCTTTTGAGCCTTTGCAGCAACCTGGAAATCTCTACCTCATACACTTTTGATTGACAAGGAGGGAGAACAGAGTCCCGTGTTGCTGAGAGACTTTCCAACCTTCTCTCTGGTTAATATGCTAATAAGGGGGAATGATACCAATGCACTGATTCATGGGATGCTAATTACTCTGTACAAAAGTGCTCCAAACATACTCCTGTAGAGTCTAACGTTGTCAGAAGGACAATGCCAACAGCAGAACAACATTTCTCTCAATAATACATCCTGATGTAAAACTTCAGGATGGAGACTTAGAGTAGAGAGGTTGTGGCAAGGAAATTTAAGTGCTTCACCCTTGACCGGTGGTAGGCAAACTGCGGCTCTAGAGCCACATGCGGCTCTTTGGCCCCTTGAGTGTGGCTCTTCCGCTGTAGGCGCTGATGGCCTATTCTCTCCATTGTTCTCTATGGTGGGGAAAAAGTAACTTTTTCCCCACCATAGAGAATAATGGAGGGGATGGGGCAACCTGTTTGGGGGCCTGTAGAATTGGACCCCCTGGTTCAATGTTCCTGAAACATGGTGGGTATCCTGCGATTCTGGAGCCTCTCCCTCAAACCCCTTCTCCTCCAGCCCCCAGAATATACCCTATGTTTTTGCCATTGACTTCAATGGCCCATAGGATATAATGGGGCCGAACTGCGGGAAGCCCCAGCAGCCCTCAGGCCGGAGCACCTGGAGCAGTCTTGGGAGGCGGATTGGCCAAGAGATCATCCACCGAAAATATTTACTGCTAGCGTGGTTAACTACCGAATCACAACAACTGAGCTCAAGACTGGCTGCCAGCTTTTGCATCCATGACTGTGCGACAAGGAGGTCTACAGAAATGAGAGAACATGGCTACCGAGGTCAAGAATGTTTTAAAGGGTTGTAAAAAAGAACACAAATTAATCCACCTTGTTCTTAGAAGTCAGTGGGTAAGCAAGAGATGTAGGCAGCATCTCCTACGCTGATAGGTGCAGCACAGTCTTCAAGTCCTATACTCTGAGAGATCAGGGAACAGAAGGCCCCACCTATGGCCATATGGATGGCAAATTTCTACAATGATGTCATTCCAACATACCTGGAGGGTGTGGGGAGGTGTTAAGTGCTGTCAAGTTGCTCTAACTTACGGCGGCCCTTTGAATTAATGACCTTCAAAATGTCCTGTCTTTAACAACCCTACTCAGGTCCTGTAAACTGAAGGGTGTGGCTTCCTTTTTTAAGTCAATCCATCTCATGTTGGGTCTTTCTCTTTTCCTGCTGCCTCCAACTTTGCCTGCCATTACTGTTTTTTCCAGTGAGTCTTAACATACCTATATAGTAGAGCTTTTATAATATAGCCCTATTATACCACATGCTAGCATATATTTAGATGTAATAAATGCCCTCACAGTAATCAGTGAGAAAAAGAACTAAAAAAAAGAGGCAGCAGTGTCATGGGCATTGGTGTAGCAGGACTACAAAAATCGCCTCTCTCTCCACCACTGCCAACCCTGACATAAAAGAATTTGAGGAAACCTATGATAGGTGGAGAACTCATCTCAGAAGAAAATATGTCCTCAGATTTCCAGACCCCATCCTTAATAAGCAGCTATGAAAGGTATTCCCCACTCACAGCTTTCAAAAGCATTAAGAGTGAGAGGCCTTGGACTCAGAGGCATACATCCTCTAGGCAGACGCACAAACATGCTTAAACCCAAGAAAACAATCAATAGCTCCTCATTTTTCTTCAGCCTGTTCAGGACTCACTCGTATCATGTGTTGCTCTCCACTGCCAAAATTCCCTGGCAACATGAGAGAAACACAGGAACACACAGCTTTTGAGCCTTTGCAGCAACCTGGAAATCTCTACCTTATACACTTTTGATTGACAAGGAGGGAGAACAGAGTCCCGTGTTGCTGAGAGACTTTCCAACCTTCTCTCTGGTTAATATGCTAATAAGGGGGAATGATACCAATGCACTGATTCATGGGATGCTAATTACTCTGTACAAAAGTGCTCCAAACATACTCCAGTAGAGTCTAACGTTGTCAGAAGGACAATGCCAACAGCAGAACAACATTTCTCTCAATAATACATCCTGATGTAAAACTTCAGGATGGGGACTTAGAGAGGTTGTGGCAAGGAAATGTAAGTGCTTCACCCTTGACCATTCTATATCCCTTCCAATCTGCTTCTTCCTAGGCAAAGCCTCTGTTAAGGCTTTTGTTATGTACATGTAACAAGCCTGTAGGCCCTGAAGGTCAAACAAGTAAACACAATGCATTGTGGAACTTGAATTTTTGCTTTTTATTTATGGTTTCTAGGTATAGCTTTCAGAACAAATTTTTAGCATCTGCATTACATAAAGATTATTGTTTTCACCCAAACAGCTGTACTACAAAAGAAGCTGCCTTACCAGAGTTAATCTTGGACTGTAGCCACTTCTTCATACACTCCTGATGAACATACCGTAGACTTCCAGTGCATTTGCATGGCTCTATTAAAGGGTTAGTAGGGGATGTAGATGACATCTGACATATTCTGCACAAGTCTCCCTCTTCCTCTTCTGAATCCTCTGAAAGAAGACTAGGGAGGAAGAAGAGTCATCAGGTTGAACAGACTGTAATGGCATTTCCTTTATTGCGCTTGAATCACATCAAGAGCATAGTAGCATTACAAGGTTGTGACAGATTAACAGTTTTTCCTAAACAAAGCTATTAGTGAAGATGAAAAGACGCCATTATGTACTGTTACTAGGAAGGAAGTTTCCAAATAAGAAGTTGAAGATTTCATGTTATAAAGATGTCACTGAAGAAGAAGAAGAAGAGATTGGATTCATACCTCGCCCTTCATTTGGAGTCTCAGAGCGGCTTACAAACTCCTTTCCCTTTCCCCACCCCACAACAGACACCCCGTGAGGTAGGTGGGAGAAAAATGTGGAGGACATACTCGAAGCTAAACGAGACAGCAGCTGCCTAGTTGTTCGCCTTCCTTCAGTATCACTGGGAGGTTCACTTAATGACCTTTGGGGCTGTGTGATCCTTTCAGAACCGCTGGAGGAACTGGCTCCACTTCTCATGGCACCGTGGGTAAACTCTGGCTGTATATTCCTTTCTGAAGATTCTACCTCTCTTGGGACATAGTTAGATCTTGAACTCCAGCTATGGTCTCTAGAGAGTAATGATGATTGATGTTCAGAAGGCAACTGGCGGTTCATGGATGTGTTCAGCCTCAAAGAGCTTAACGAGTTGTCCTTTGGCCTTGCTCCTTGTGCATACGAAGCAGCAGATCTTTCCTGAAGGTCTGCTATGGAAGAATAATAAAAATAACCAAAACAAGTTAACTCTAAGATAGGTATTGGCCAAACACTACTATTAGACTAGCCAAACTGATTATACTTGCCATAACATGGATTAACAAGAGCCTAAGAAACGCACTATGCAGTCTAGTCTTGCAGAAATACGTCCCTGGCATTCCATGTAACTCAGTCCCAAGTGTGTTTAGGATTAATTTTTTTGCTGAGAACAAGGTCAGTTGTATATTAAAGCTATTTCAGCACTTAGGCAACACAAATATAAATTGTTGCATACAAGCCGACCAACCTAACAACATTAATGCTATACATACACACACCCCTTTATTAGAATCAACCTTTCAAGAACCATCCAGGGCTCAAAGAGCATGTGGTACCCCATTCGCTTTCAACGGACTCCAGTTATGACTGGAACTAACAAATGGATGTGATACATTGTTATCTTTTCATCTCTGCTCCAGGAGTCTCACCCAATCCCAGGGAAGTTGTTTCCTGGCCTCACAGAACCCACGTGGACTATCAACACAGGTAAGGAAGCTACAGAGGGGAGGGAACAACATCACTCCTCCCTCTTTTACCAGCAGAGCTCCACTGATGGAAGAGACCTGCAGCACCGGGAATCAACTTTCTCAGGGCTGGACAGACCTGCTGGAGGGAGGAAAACTTGGGAACGATCCCTGATTCTTGCATTCAGCGACTGAGATCTAACACACAGTTCATTAATTTTTTCCAAATATCGTGTTGAGGAAAGCAAGCTGAGAGAAAACCAGCAATGTAAACTTAGTTAAAGGTGAAGTGGCACTATATCACATCACGAAATGGTACTGCTACAGTTGTACATACGGTGGTGCCCAGACAGAGCAGGGGTCCCCAACATGGTGCCTTTGGGCGCTATGGCTCCCACCAACCCCTTTCCTGGCACCCACCAAGCGTTTTTAGAAGGTGGGCAAAGTTTCTAACTGGCTGTGCAGATTTTTAAAAAAAAGAATGCTTTGGCAACAGCTGCCACCACAGCACGAGAATCTTCACTGTGTGGATGAAAGTAAGCTTATGTGTATGCAAGACAAATTTTAAATGTAAAATTTAAAAGGCATCCTGTTAAACAGAGCTTCTGCCTCTCATAGTGAACGTTTACTATCAGACTCATGCCTTACCTCAGTCCCTGACATTTTGCGGATGGCTTCAAATCCTGGGGCAGCCCTTTTATGGCTATGCCCACCACTCTGTGACAGAACTCCAAAGGTGCCCACGGGCTCTAAACCCCGAGATACAGGTTTCAATATTTTAATGGTAACATGGAAAAGTGAACATAGTTTCATCTTAGCTAGATGTTAATCCTAATAATTCCACTACAGTGCAACACTGGTACGAGACTCGTTGCAGTTTACTTTCAGCCGGCTTTTCCATAAAGCTGAAACTACATTTTTAATAAGGACCAAACTATCAATTTCAAGTATCCCACTGTGATATATAACCCCAAATCTAAAACTTTTAGTGTACTCGTTTTCAAGCCCAACCTTCATTTAAGATGACAGCCTGAGTGCTGCTTTACACATGCAACAGGCTTCTCCACTCTGTGTACCACAACTGCCTCTGGGGTCACACTTGCATGGAAGCTAGTGCATGATCTATCTAGGCTATCCATAAATAGAGCCTCAGTATCTTGGTAGAGATTTCTGCCACAGCAGCAGAATGTTTTGCCATCCCTATAAGATTCACTTCTAGGCGACATCGACTGTATTCATCAATGACCCAGGGCACACCTTATGATGCTCTTCAAACAAATGTAGCTCTGGTGACATCACAATATAGGCCACATGGAGAAGATTTTTCCATGCCCAAACTGGCAGCCTTTTTACCTTCTTCTGAACTCCATACTTAGTGTCAGCTAATGAGTCTATTTTATCAACCAGCATTAAGTAGCCAGACTCATGGTTACGAGCAAGAAAGGTCCGATACATTGGTTGACTACACAAGCTAACAGCAACTTTTAGGGCCACTTGGAACAGCTTATTTGGCTTTATTTCAAACTGATTTTGACTATGGAGAGTGGCAACGCTGGACAACTACTTTCTTAAAGGAACACATTACAATACCCAACATTTTCTGTCAGGGCTTGATCATAATATAAAACCATACTTGTTTTATCCCAGGGCTTATGTACGCAAAACTGAAGTGTCAGACTTTTTGTGATCATTAAAAATGGAACCAAACACATAACATGTTCCCCCCAAAATTTCAGATTTCCAATACATACATGATGAAGATGGGAAGTCGCCACTCCTGCGACTGTAATCCACAAGACTACCAATGGATGGGTCTGCTCTTTCTAGCTCTCTCCTTTCTCTCACAAGTTCGGTTCCTAATGACCCAAGTACCATAGTTGAAGATCTGGGTACACTGCTATACCTCCATGGGGAATCTAAAACAGCAGAATTAACACTGAAAAGTCTTCTGCTTCCATTTTGATTGCTCTCTGGATGATACTTCTGAATATTAAGGTGTAACATGGGTCACTGTGAAATGAGCAGGCGAGAAAGTGCACACCCAAGACTCCTGATTTCACTAACCATGGATGCAAGTGGAATGAAATGTACTCTGAATAGAAAGGAAAGTGAGTAGTTTTTCCAATATTAAACAAAAATTTGAATGTGTCTCTCAGGCAAATTTCAAATCTTTCACTGCCAAACTGCAACAAAGATAATTCCACACATATGCTAAACTTTGACTGAATGAGTACACATATATTTTATAAAGTGTAAAAGCAAATTAATTCAGACAGAGAAGCAGTCTGTTCTATAAACTCTGTTTAGGGCATGAAATCCTTTAGATGTATTTTATTGCCTCTATTTTGTAAATCCTTACACATGCACATAAGAGCAGGAAGCGGGTTTTAACATAGAGCAACATGAACCTAATGCATGTTGTATAGCTTGCAAACATTACCTGAATCTGTGTTTAAGCCATTACTTCTCACACCAGAGGTAGATGTATAGGAAAGTTTAGGTCTCTTAGAATCGCTGTCCTGCTGCTGATTATGATGCAGCCTTGACGAATATGCTCCCTGAGTTCTTTCAGATTCACCAAACCAAGACGACGAAAGAGTCGAAGATGATGACGCTGACTACTCAAAAAAAAAAGAAGTGAGTTGAGTGTTCTCTTCCATACAAACAAAATCGAATTTATCTACAAAAGTTAGCAGGTAGTTAAGAGCAGTTTTAAGTGAAAAACTGTAGATAAGATAATGAAAAGGTTTGAGATTTTAAAAACTTTAAGTTCAAGAGTCTCTTAACCTTACGGTCAGTGTTAAAAGGATTTGTTATTTGTAAACCACCACTGGCAAGTTTATCCAACCCCTTTGCAAGCACAACAGTTATTTATATTTATTTATTCATTAGATTTCTATTCCGCCCTTTCCCAAAGGCTCAGGGTGGATCACAACAATAAAACAACTGCATATAAAAATATATAATATGCTGGCCATTCATAAATAATAATATATAGAGAAGTGAATGGGTGGATAAGCTCCAGGAGGGCTAACAGAAAAAGATCAGAAGAAGGCCTTTCTGAACAAGAGTGATTTACAAGCTCCGTGGAAACACTCCGAAGGCCCCATAGGGCTCAAACCTCGCCTGGCAAGGCATTCCACCAGGAAGGGCCAAGGTGGAAAAGACCCTTGTCCTAGTGGTAGCCAAGTGCACCTCTCAGGGGCCCAACACCATTAACAAGTTGCCCAATGATGAGTGCAACATACAAAGGGGATTACAGCGAGAGAGCCAGTCACTCAGATATGATGGTCCCAAACTGTTTAGAGCTTTAAAGGTGAGTACCAGTTCCTTGAACTTGATCTGGAAATAGACAGATAGCCAGTGTAGCTGACACAGCACAGGATGGATATGTGCACCCCAGGTTACACCAGCCAACAATCTGGTGGCTGCGTTCTGAACGACCTGAAGCCTCGAGAGCAGCCTCAAGGGCAGCCCTGTGTAGAGCATATCACAGTAAACTGACAGGTGACCGTGGCATGGATCACTTTCAAATCCTACTCGTAAGGCTATTGCTGCTATTTAGATTAGTCTTTGGCAGCTTAAGCAGTATCCACTAGAGGTGTGCATTTGGATCATTCCAAGCCTTATCAGTATTTTGGGGGTATATTTCGGCATCCCAAAAGTATCTGGGATTTTTCAGGAAAACTGGAAAAAAATCCCAGATAATTTCAGGAACTGGGAAGATCAGGGGAAACAGCCGAGACATGGGGAGACTGCTCCCTGCCTCTCAGCTGTTTTCACCTGCTTCTTCTGCAGTCCCTTTAAACCAGACTACTCTTTATAATCTGAATGGGTTACCAGCTTTCAGGCTAAATGCAAGGTGACTGCTTGGACTTTAAAGTCACAAACAGACTAGATCTAGGATATTTTCAGAGAGGAACTTCTCCCTTGCATTCTCCTGGGGGGGCATGTGATGGTCTGTATTCTTGGTGCTTGGGAAGGGGGCACAGTGGGAGGGCTTCTAGTGTCCTGGCCCCACTGATGGACCTCCTGATGGCACCCAGTATTTTTGGCCACTGTGTGACAGAGTGCTGGACTGGATGGGCCATTGGCCTGATCCAACATTGGCTTCTCTTATGTTCTTTTGTCCATCCTCCTCCATCACTGTCAGAAGTGATATTTTCATCTGCTAGGAAGGAGACATTTGCAGAGGTGACCCTTTTGCTCTGGAACTCCCGCCTTATTGGAAAATGTCAGGCATGTCCAGTAGATAATTTTGATTGTTCAGTGCATTAGTTTTACCAAGCTTTTGCTGTATTTGGGGCTAGTTTTCATATGCTTTTTACATACTATTAAGCGCTACAAAAAATCACTTTGGTAAATTGCCTTGAGAATGATGCGACTTATGAAGTGAGATATAAATAAAAGTAAGCAGTTAGGTATTCTCCAGTTGGTAACGAAAAATACCCCGGCTACTTGAGTAGTACTTTTATGTTCCTTTGAAAATTTATTCTGAGCATGAGTTTGGGGTTTTTTTTTGGTGAATTCTCTTTTTGTTTACAATAGAGTTATCGAAATAACTCACCTACTGTCAGAAATATGCCACCCTCCCCTTTCAACACCTCCACCCATTGAGTGTTCTCTTCCATACAAACAAAATAGAATTTATCTACAAAAGTAAGTTAGCAGGTAGTTAAGTGCAGTTTTAAGTGAAAAACTGTAGATGATAATGAAAAGGTTTGAGATTTATTTTAAAAACCTTAAGATACCAAGTTCAAGAGTCTCTTAACTTTACAGTCAGTGTTAAAAGGATTTGTTATTTCTAAACCACCACTGGCAGGTTTATCCAACCCCTTTGCAAGCACAACAGTTATTTATATTTATTTATTCATTAGATTTCTATTCCGCCCTTTCCCAAAGGCTCAGGGTGGATCACAACAATAAAACAACAACTGCATATAAAAATACATAATATGCTGGCCATTCATAAATAATAATATATAGAGAAGTGAATGGGTGGATAAGCTCCAGGAGGGCTAACAGAAAAAGATCAGAAGAAGGCCTTTCTGAACAAGAGTGATTTACAAGCTCCGTGGAAACACTCCGAAGGCCCCATAGGGCTCAAACCTCGCCTGGCAAGGCATTCCACCAGGAAGGGCCAAGGTGGAAAAGACCCTTGTCCTAGTGGTAGCCAAGTGCACCTCTCAGGGGCCCAACACCATTAACAAGTTGCCCAATGATGAGTGCAACATACAAAGGGGATTACAGCGAGAGAGCCAGTCACTCAGATATGATGGTCCCAAACTGTTTAGAGCTTTAAAGGTGAGTACCAGTTCCTTGAACTTGATCTGGAAATAGACAGATAGCCAGTGTAGCTGACACAGCACAGGATGGATATGTGCACCCCAGGTTACACCAGCCAACGATCTGGTGGCTGCATTCTGAACTACCTGAAGCCTCCAGAGCAGCCTCAAGGGCAGCCCTGTGTAGAGCAAATCACAGTAAACGGACAGGTGACCGTGGCATGGATAACTTCCAAATCCTACTCGTAAGGCTACTGATGCTATTTAGATTAGTCTTCGGCAGCTTAAGCAGTATCCACTAGAGGTGTGCATTTGGAGCTTTCCCAGCATTATCAGTATTTTGGGGGTATATTTCGGCATCCCAAAAGTATGTGGGATTTTTCAGGAAAACTGGAAAGAAATCCCAGATAATTTCAGGAACTGGGAAGATCAGGGGAAACAGCCGAGACATGGGGAGACTGCTCCCTGCCTCTCAGCTGTTTTCACCTGCTTCTTCTGCAGTCCCTTTAAACCAGACTACTCTTTATAATCTGAATGGGTTACCAGCTTTCAGGCTAAATGCAAGGTGACTGCTTGGACTTTAAAGTCACAAACAGACTAGATCTAGGATATTTTCAGAGAGGAACTTCTCCCTTGCATTCTCCTGGGGGGGCATGTGATGGTCTGTATTCTTGGTGCTTGGGAAGGGGGCACAGTGGGAGGGCTTCTAGTGTCCTGGCCCCACTGATGGACCTCCTGATGGCACCCAGTATTTTTGGCCACTGTGTGACAGAGTGCTGGACTGGATGGGCCATTGGCCTCATCCAACATTGGCGTCATAATCTTATATTCTTTTGTCCATCCTCCCCCATCACTGTCAGAAGTGACATTTTCATCTGCTAGGAAGGAGACATTTCCAGAGGTGACCCTTTTGCTCTGGAACTCCCGCATTATTGGAAAATGTCAGGCATGTCCAGTAGATAATTTTGATTGTTCAGTGCATTAGTTTTGCCAAGCTTTTGCTGTATTTGGGGCTAGTTTTCATATGCTTTTTACATACTATTAAGCGCTACAAAAAATAACTTTGGTAAACTGCCTTGAGAATGATGCGACTTATGAAGTGAGATATAAATAAAAGTAAGCAGTTAGGTATTCTCCAGTTGGTAACAAAAAATACCCCAGCTACTTGAGTAGTACTTTTATGCTCCTTTGAAAACTTCTTCTGAGCATAAGAGTTTGGGGTTGTTGGTTTTTTTGTGAATTCTCTGTTTACAATAGAGTTATCAAAATAACTCACCTACTGTCAGAAATAGGCCACCCTCCCCTTTCAACACCTCCACCCTACTTGGATTCAGCTTGCTCCCCGGGGCTGCCCTACCATTTTGGCTTTTACATTTCACCATGTTCACCACATAGCCAAATCCAAATATTATGTGATAATGATGACAACTGAAAAACAGAAGGATAGCCATGGGCAAAACAGACAAGTTGAGAATCCCTTTTTTCTTCACAGCAGTGTAGCTGCAGGCACGCGGGGGGGGGTTCCCAAAGAGGAGCTTCTCTCCCTCCCCGCCCAAGACACAGGAAGGAACCTTTCACTATTTTGTATTTTTTTCTCAATGGGCTCATGCCCTTATTTCAACACTCCTACTTATGGACACCAATATTTTATGTTATGCAACTCTTCTCTCTCATCTATCCTACTATATCTACTCTAGCTCTGAGTGACACAGTAAAAGTGTAACCACAGATGGATTTTGTGTATATTTTATTTTAGCCTTTAAAAACCAAGGTTTTTTGTTTACAGTAAATTTGCTAAACTGTTTTCCTGGTAATATAATATAGAAGGGCAAGGTGGTATGTTTTTCTTAAAAATGAATTCGTATCCCTCAGCTAAGGGTAATCAAGTAGATGATTACTGAAAAACATACAGACTATGTAAGTAAATCAAAATATGAAACATTCACAGGAAGTGCTGCCACTAAACACATACAGGATTTTGAAAAAACCCACAACGACTAAACAGGGATCTATACAGACTGCTGAATGTTTCTAATGTAATTTCTCTACATCCTCCTGAGATTACGTTATTGTTCTACAATCCCTCTGACTCTTTAAGCAAGCCAAGACTGTTCATATGATGTATGTGCTTCTCTAAATCTTGCTTATGAGAAAGGAGTTTGTTAGTAGTTCCCGTGACAATTAACTTGGAAAACAATGTGAACCTTTGACAACTCTTACCAATCTGTTTCTGCTTCCCAAAAATCTTCCAGACCATGGACGGTCAAGTGTTCCTGAGTAGCGAGTTGGAGAAGAAGTTGGAAGCTTCCACGGGCTTTCATAGGCTTCTCTTTCTCCAATTGCCCAGTCTCTACTGTAACTATGCAACCTGCTGGATTCCTAAGAAATAAGAAGAACTTACCCTTCCATTCAAAGCACTATATTCCATAACAGTGAACAATCAACATTGTAACTTTTAATAAAAGCACCAAACTTTAACAGCTTTACTTTTTAAGTAATACTAAGACCCGAGTGTGCCACATGATGGAGTGAGCTCCCGTCTCTAGTTCCAGCTCCTGCCAACCTAGCAGTCCGAAAGCAAGAAATTGCAAGTAGATAAATAGGTACCACTTCAGTGGGAAGGTAACAGCGTTCCGAGCACCTTGGTGTTTAGTCATGCCGGCCACATGACCACAGAAATGTCTTCGGACAGCACTGGCTCTTCGGCTTTGAAACTGAGATGAGCACCGCAACCCTAGAGTCAGATTCAACTGGCTTTCGAACAAGGGAACCTTTACCTTAAGTTGCACTTAGCTGTGATCCACCACAAATCTAAAAAAGTGAAGCTGATTCACATTATCCCTTACCCAAACTGTTATGCACGTGCAGGCCCAGTAACAAGCAAAAGTTTCCCTCTGCTGGCACGGTGCAGACAGGTGTTCTGCAGGGTATTATACATCGAGATTTTTAACCCTATGTATACCGAGGTTGAGATTCAGACCAACACTCAAAAGAACGAGAGGAATAAGCTTTTCAAAGTAAGAGGTTTTTATTTAAACAACAAAAAGAATAAAAATTTAAAGCAGATTTTGCAAAGAAAATGACAATTTTACAGAATAGAAAAACAAGGGTGTTTGTAAAACAGTGAAACATGAAACCCTTCCCTTTCAAGCCTAGCCTATGAGGGGAAGGCTAAGAAAAGGATGAGGAAACAAACAAATAAAATATACAAGACTCTTTTTGAAGACAGCAAAGCGGTACCAGGAGAGGAAAACTGGCCAAGCAGGAGAAAGCACAACACAGCAACCACCCAAGAAGCGGGGGTAACTGGATGGATCCCAAACCGACTACAAAGGTTTGAGGGTCTGAGAGGTGGCTTGAATGCATCTATAGTTGCACTGAGACAGGAGACAGTACCTCTGCTGTGATGGGAATCGGTCCCATCTAGAAACTCTGAAATCTATTGGAAGGTTTGAATTTAAGGAGGGTGGCAGGAGGAAGGAATGCTAAATAGTGCATAATGATATCAACCTGGGGTGAGTAGGTTACCTGCCCAAAATACCAGTTTGGCATGCTTTAGCAAAGGACTGGGCAGCACTTGATGGCCCTTGCCAGGAGATGGCTGAAGGGCTAGTTTGAAAAGAAAGTTTTTGTCAGCTTTGTGGAGGAGAGTTTTCCTTATTTGCAACACCGTACTCGAAATATTCTTTTTGGAGATGGCTGGATAGTTTACATGACTGAGTCAGGGACCTTACTACCCAACCATTAAGATAAACGTGAAATAGCTGGGATCAATCTGTTGCCTATTTTCATTTGAGTAATTGGATTAGATCAAATTATCAGGAAGGAGGCTCCAGGGTACTTGGGGAAACGCCCCTCTGGTTAACTGCCATCGGATGGGCTTTCGCATGATTGATGGAGGTGCTACATTTACATTCCTTCCACACCTTCAACATGACTTACTGTCATTTTGATACCTGTTTGATGTAGACTCCATCTTTCATTGCAAGGCTTATGCTAAGATGTGCAAGTACAGGTATAAAAAATGGGAGTTCCCCATGAGGAAGATCCTAGGGGCATCATATTTACAGGTATAACATTCTATGCATAGTATTAGATTATAGACTGTAAATGGCTGAAACTTAGCTTCCATTTGGCTATTCTCTAAACAGGATAAGAGCCAGCCACCATTCCTTTTGTAAAGAATGGGAGCAGTACAGAGATTTACCTCGAGAACTAAGTCTTCTTTCCTCTTACCCACAGCAAGATTATAGCATTATATGAAGACTAACCGTAAAGCCCGTTGAGGAGGAAGACAACGGGCCCTAGAAAGGTAGGATGGGTTGGTGGGGCATGGGTTGGGGGGTGGAAGCCGGCGGGCCGATCGCTGAGCTGGAGTGGGGGGGGAAGCTGGCGGACAGGGCCTGCAGGCCCCGTTTGCCGGCCGGGAGTGGGGTGGTTGGCAGGCCAGGTTCGCCGAGGGAGCCAGTCATTGGAGGCAGCTCTTCTGAGGGGCATTTTAGAATTCTGGCACCCACGAGGAGCACTGGACTTCCTGCCCTTCTCTAGGCATCATTTTTCCCTCTCAATAACTTAAGCCAAGCTCCTGCTGTTAATGTATTGCTACTCCTCCCTGCTATTCTATTACCACTGAGCCGTTCTTTGCCAGACAACCAGACGACATATTCACATGCTTCTCGGGGGTGTTTCTGGTGTGTGTGGGGAAATGGTATGGGGCTTAACATACCCAGGATCAAATATGATCTGGGTCAGCAGCAATTGTGTGGGCAGGCAATGTCATCATCCTAGAGGTCATTAGTTAAGAAGTATGCACAGCACACGCAACAGGCCAGCAGCATCACAGACCCAGTTTATAGGTCATCCCAAATGATGGAACTCAGTATGATCGAAGTAGCAGACAGTTAAAGTAGGCTTGAGTGTTAACAATTTGTTATAGAAAAGAGTACGGTTCCAAGAGATTATCTGTAAGAAGCCAAGAACCACATGGCTGATGCTACTGATCTCATGCAAGAAGTCTCCACTCATTCCCCAGATATTTAGGCCTTACCTGACATTCAAGGGAGACAAAAATTCTTCCATTTTGTTTCATGCAGGTCAGTTAGTCTGCCATTTCTTGTACGCTGAATATTTTAAATTCTTCTCCGTTGCTTAACTTTTTAGTCTCTTGACCAGGTATACAGACAGATCTCTTAACCTTGAAAAGTCTCAAGTTCCCACATATACTGTGTTCAATCAGTTATTAAACTGATCTGTGAGTATGCAGCAATAATTAAACCTTCATTTAGTTTCGAAAGTCAAGCCTTTTCCTGACACTATACCACCAGAAATATACACTGTCCCTTTTTTCTTAACCAGTTGTATATTTCGATAAGGGAAAGGATCCCAACAGTGCAATCTTATACAGAAGTACTCCAACCTAAGCCCATTTAAATCAATGGGATTTAACTGGAGTAAGCTTGCACAGGTTTAAACTACAAGAGTTTTAAATTCCTTATTTCTGGTTAAGTACATTGCTTTTTTATTATTCCATTCTGTTGCTTTGCATTCTTAGAGACCTAAGTTTCTTAACAGCTAAATTTGTCCTAACCACTGATCTCTGCAGTTATTCTGTTCTCCATTAGTCATTTTGCCTTACCTACCAGTAACTTAAATGGGTAAAGAACCAAAATAAGTTTAAGGCTTAGTTTCCTATCTATCATAGTTGTGTTATAATTAATTTCCTTTTACTTCATTTGTTTTCTAATGTATTTGCATTAAGCTTAGCAGAACCTATTTCTGATCAGCATGTCAACCAATTCTAAACTAAACTTAACTGGTATAATTTTATTTGTCCCCAGTTGATACAGAGTCAATTACCTGTCTGTGGAGGCATTGGTTAGGGCACAGGGCAACCTGGTATTCCCTTAGCGTGTGCATGTATCACACTAAGAACTGGAGGGGGTAAGAAGCCTGGGCATTACTCCAATATCCTGCTTTCTCTGCTCAGTCAAGGAATATGATCCTGGTAATGTACTAGCAAGTCTCCTGATTACTACAGAAGGCCAATTTCTTCATGTTTCATTGGCAGAGCATCCAGAAATTGCTGCTGCAATCTTTAACAAGTGTCTGGAAGCTGTGGTATAGCAGGCAGTGGCAAATTTCAATTCAAGTTGAATTTTATGCTGGTAGGGAGTGCTAGGGGCCTGAAGAACATCAACATGTTTTTAACCGAAAGGGAAACAGTCTGAATGTTTTAGGGAAAGGCTCTAGCCGTTTTAAGCAAGAGTATATTTTGCACCAGAAATAATTCAGCCCAGTCCTGCCCAAGGTATTTATTAAGTCAAAGTCTCACCAAATTCGGTAAGATAAAGATGGGTAGCTGTGTTGGTCTGACTGCACCAAGAGACCAGTAGCACCTTAAAGACTAACAAAATTGTGGAAGAGCATGAGCTTCCATGAGTCACTGCTCCCTTATTCAGATTAAGGTGCTACTGGACTCTTGCTCTGTTCTACAAGTTCAGCAAGGTTACTCTGAAATAAGTACATGTAAAATTACAGCCAAGTTATAAAAAATTACTTGCTAGAGTGTATGAGTAGCAGCAATATCAGTAAAATGTACTTAGATGCATTTCCAGATTGTGTCTATTTATATAATCTTAAATTATACTAAAAAATGTTGGTGAGAAAAAATAACTATAAATCCCTGTCCTTGCTTCCTAAATTACTCCTGCAGAGAAATATTGAGGCTAAAGGAAGACGCATGAAGCATTTCTATTTTTAGAGGCTTAATTTTGCTAAATTTCAGCACAGGCAAGCTAAACACAGCCTGACATGCTGACCTCTGTAAACAATTGCACTGATGCCTCTTTCAAGTGAAACCAAAGCTATGTTCACCCATTTTTCCAGGACAATGCTTTAAAGCAGTTACGCTGCACTGCCTAAGCCTCAAAAACAATCTTGCTTCACTCAAGCTTATGACTCTGGGGACATGCAACAGAGAAGAAAAAGTACTAAAGAGGACTGCAGAAAAGCCAAAAGGGGGAAAAATGCCAATATTATGTAGATATCCCTAATACAAACATGTTAATTAGTTCTTTAAAATGTCACCTATCTGTTTGAGGAACTAAAGCCCTGTTCTTTAACTTTTACTGTGGAAACTTGCTTGGAGTAGAAGATGGTTGCATAGCTTATTATCAAATGCCAAGTGAGCAACACAGTCTTGTGTCTGCCCTGTAGAATGTGCGCTACTTGCAAAATGCCCATCTCTATCACAAGGGAGAGGAACAAGAGGAAATCCATGAACAGGGACAGGGAACATTATCTTCATGAGTTTTCTGAACACAAGTGAATTGTACCATCCATGCGGTCCCTCCAAATGGAGTTTGGACCACCTGGGACCAGGGGAACGGGGAGGGACGGGTTGCTTCCAATACAATCAGGCCCCAAAACGGCATTTTGCTTTCTGTCATTAAAGAAAATTGTTTTCAGTCAGTAAGGGCCAAGCTATCTGTTATGAATCAGGTCAGGATCACCTGTTCCAACTCTCATCCTCTAAGTCAGATGGCAGCTGTTGTGAACTAAACTTCCAAGCACATGGCTCCAATTCAAATAAGCTTCAGCCTTCTCCCCCAAACTGTATTCACAACCTAAAATAGCCCAAGAGGCATTATTTCCAGGGGGGGTGCTATATAAGTAGTTTTCAGGGCACTAAACACAGCTTGAACCCCAACCAGAATTCAAGCCCCATGAGGAAAGGTTGAAGGAACTGGGTATGTTTAGCCTGGAGAGGAGACGACTGAGAGGTGCTATGATAACCATCTTCAAGTACTTGAAGGGCTGTCATATTGAGGATGGTATGGAGTTGTTTTCTGTGGCCCCAGAAGGTCGGATCAGAACCAACAGGTTGAAATTAAATCAAAAGTTTTCAGCTAAACATTAGGAAGAACTTTAGAGCAGTTCCTCAGTGGAACAGGCTTCCTTGGGAGGTGGTGGGCTCTCCTTCTTTGAAGGTTTTTAAACAGAGGCTAGATGGCCATCTGGCAGCAATGCTGATTCTATGAACTTCGGCAGATCGTGAGAAGGAGGGCAGGAAGGGTTGCATCAGTGCTTAGTTCTTATGGCCCTTTTCTTACACGCCCAGGTAAATGCTGATCGCTATTTTGAGGTCAGGAAGCAATTTTTCTCCAGGCCAGTTTGACCGGAAATTTTGGAGGTTTTTTGTCTTCTTTTGGACATGGAACAGGGGTCAAGGGGGTGTGAGGGAGAGGTAGGAATACAGTGCTAAGTAACTTTCCCAAAGTCAAAGGCAAGGCAACATTGGGTAACTCTACTTTTCACAAGTTGTACTTAATCTATGTACATTATTTTATTTCATGTGCGCTTCCAGCATTCTAGCAAATTAGTGCAAGTTCTCTTAAAAGAACAGCATGAAGGTTCTCATTAAATTACTTCAAGAACCTGCCTCTGGAAGTAAGAACAGATCTCATGTCATTAACTCAGAGCAAAAGAACTTGTAAAGAGTATTCTTATGCCAGGTTTTCCACAAAGGCCATGACCAGATGCAAACATTTCAAACAGATTACTTGCACAGGGAGCTTGAACTAAAGCCATGTCTTTTTTCCATGCGAGTAAGTTCCTATGAATGCCCTTATTTAATTTCTTTCACACTTTAAAACTTTCAGCCTACAACAAGTAACGTCTTTGTCACGTCTGGGGGTGTCCCCTAGCTTTGGAGGGGCGTTTGCCGTGGTTGCTGAGGGTATTGGAGGGAAGCGAGAGCCTCAGATATGGAAGGGCAGGGGAGTTCCGTCACTCTCCTCCATCCTTTCCTCGGGGTCGACAGCCACCTCTGGTTCTCTCTCACTGGCTGAGCCAGTTGCCTCCAAAATCCTCCCCGACTCTCTTGGCTTCCCTCCTTTTATCCTCTTCCAGTCCCTAGGTAATCCCTCCCTTTTCCTTTCTCAGTCTCGGATTGTGCTCTTCCCCTGTCCTTCCCCTTTCCTATCATCCCTATTGTGTGGTTCTCGCTTAGTCCTGCCCTCCTGCAATTCCTCCGTGACCCCGGCCTGAGTCGGGGAGCACAGGGGAGTGGCCGCTTCCAGCAAGCCCAAGGAGCCCGCCGCTGCCGCCTGCAGCGTCTCCACACCCACTCCCTTTGGTAAGCCTTGTCTCCTCCCGTCGCCTCTCACTCGGGGCTGTGCACGTCCTCCTGGCCTTGGAGGCTGCGGAGAGGAGTCTGTCTTTGCCCTTCCCCCCGTTGTCGTTCTCTGAGAAGGGAGGGGGGAGGGCCCTCCAAGGACTCCTGGCTGTCTGCCAGATCTCCGGCCCAACTGCCGGTTGCCGTGACCCTCTTTGTCCCCCGACCCTCCCAGGGAGCCTCACCCTCCAGGACGTACTGAGGGTCCGGCAAAAGAAATGGCACACTTGGAAGGAGCACAAGCTTTTATGCCTTCAAGGTCTTTCTGTACAAGTTGTTCAAAGCTAATAGAGCTACAGAACTTAACCAAGGAAAAGTTATTGCTATTCCTTATTGCTAAGTGTCAGTGAAAATCTTTGGCCTGTGGAGTTCCTTAAAAACTTGGCTGTTGCTGTCCCATACAAAATCCCCACTGGACTCATTTTTCAGTGATCTAGGAAAGTTCTAGATGTAATTGATATAAGTTCTACCTAACATGGGGGTAGAAAACATTACACAGAGGAACTATATTTAGTTAGGCCAATCCTTAATTAATCTACAGAGGGAGAACCTTATGGGGGGAACAATTTATTTTTTTCCTTTATGTCATCAACGTTGAGGCATCAAATACTGCTGATGAGCAATACAGTTAAGTACCACTGACAAATGCGATTTACCTGGCATACAGGTTCCAGTCTCAGTGAAGAATCTCTTGTACGATACGAGTCAGTAAAACTGGTTCCTCCACTTCCAGCCCCTGTCCTAGCACTTCGAGAATTCAATGGCTGAGTGGGCACCCTCCGTGGAATTCTGGAAGGCTTCGATTCCATTCTCTGAGCACTGTGAAACAAATATTACCGTTTCCCAGTAAGATAACAGGGTGCATAATGTTTGTCTTTACTAAACAATGGAGGTTCAGATGTTATTCATACATGGTTGCAATAGTGAACTTTACACAAACCAGGGGGCCAACACAAGGTTAATCAAATTCATGAAGAAAGCACCAAATAGGATGTAGGTGTCAGAAAGTTTAGTTTTAAACACAATGTTAAAACAACTACAGCCTCTTAATTTTTCTCCACATTAAACAGAAGTACATACACTATCTATCTTTTCATTATCTAAGCACTCCTTGCAGTTTTACATAGCAATGAAAGTAAAACGATCCGGGTACAATAACATTATGAGCAGTGTTCCCTCTAAGCTGAGTCAGTGTGAGCTAGCTCAGTTTTTTAGCCACCAGCTCACACATTTTTGTCTTAGCTCAGGAAGGATGACTCCAGACCAAAGTTATACAGTAGCCAAATCGCTTGCTCACAACTTTAACGCCAGTAGTTCACAAAGCAGAAGTTTTGCTCACAAGACTTCCACAGCTTAGAGGGAGCATTGATTATGAGCAACCTTTAAACAATAAGCAGTACAGTCTAAAGGCATGAAAGGGAGGAAGGAGAAATGTACAACAAAGATGGCTGCTCTCAATGCATCTCTAGATCCATGTAACTGTTAACAACAGATTAAAAGCTATTAAGGAATGTAATGTGAGCACAGACTCCAGGTTACTACAGAGAACTACCAACCGCCATGCATGCTTGAGAATATTACTCCTCAACATACATTCCATGACAAAGCCTGACACCCAGCTACAATAAAAACTAACACTGGCCTGAATCACTCGTACAGTAATTGTTCTGATAACATAACGAATGGCTGCATTAATTATCCCAGCTACCGTTAAACAATCAAGTAATTTAGTAAATTGGTACCACAGTATTATGACTCTTCTCAAATTCAGAAGAAATTACTACATAGTATTTGTCAAATTCAGATTACTCTCTTCCCACTCAGAACTGTTTAACCGGCAAACAGAAGAACTCTTGAAATTCCGGTTTATAAAGTAACTTCTCCTAACAGCTGTTTATAAAGACATGTGTCCAAGATGCTTGATACTCTGTCCATAAAGTGCAGCCAACTGCAAGGCCACTTTGAAAAAGAGCACAGAATGGTAACTGAGTTTGGCAATCACTCACAAATGTGTGCAGACGAGTTCTAAAACTGCCTTCTCAGTTAAGATGCAGTCGTCTTCTTGCAGCCATTGTTGCACAGGCCTGATCTAAATGCAGCTCCAGGTATGAAGAACTTCCATGTGACTACCCAAGTCTAGCATTTCATTACACTGAGCTCTCAGCCACTATATATGCAATGCCAGCACATCAGGGTAATGCCCACCTGTGTTACAGACTGCTACTGCTCATGCAGATGAGGCAATCCAGCTGGAAGTGAGTCAGCAATGTATGCGACACGCTGCAAGTGCAATGTTGTGGAGGTAAATTTTCACACAGCCAGGATCGTGTTCAAACCAGGCCAGAGCCATCAACACTTCAGGCAGGATCTGCCAAGTTCCTCTTTCAGGTTCTTAAGAATGAAGATTTGCCTCTTGGATTACCTGCTCTCAATAACTTTCCTCTGAACTGTAAGAGTCACCAATGACAGTCCTACCGTTATATAAAAATATATACACACATGAGGCAAATTTCACCAGACAAGCCTTTCTGGTTTGAACACATGCAGTCTGATGTCAAACCAGTTCCTTCCTGTTTCTAGCCCTAGCACCTTCCTCATTCTTGGCAGAACTAGAAAGTAGGAATCCACACCTAGATAACCTTCACAGGGAAAATTTAAGCATAACATACATACATGTTTGAAGCAAAAAAATGTGCCGGTGACTGTACCACAATTTCCACAAGGGTGGTTTTTATGCAAAACACCAACAGCCTAACACTGAATCGTAATTTAGGGACTGGCCATTCTCCACCCCACTCAAGACAGAAACTGATCCAGATGAGAGAGAAATTAAGGTGGGGAAAATTAATGGAGGGAAAGCATTACCATGGCAGAGAAATGCTTTTTAATAAAGCACTTATCCATTTAGCAATGTGCTCAAAGTTTTCCACTGAAAATAGCTACTGCAGTCTTTGTCCTCATTTTAAGTTGGAGTTCATTCATTAATTGTTCTTCACAGTTTGTGTTTTTTCCCTGAAAGCATCAATAAACACAGTCATTCTGGTTTCTTATGTTACCTTTGAACTAAGATGTCACACTATTGCTCCTTTGGGAGGTCCTTTAAAAGCTTCCAGGCCATTTGAATTCATTTGCTGTCCATCCCCCATCCCCCGCCTCAAGGATATCCTCTACACTACAGAACTGCCCGGCCTACTTCAAAAGAATATATCAAGTCATCTCTCCCTGTGCCAAGGTTAGTAGCAAAGGACTACTGGGACTGAACTAGTTTTCCAAGTCTATTTTAAGTGCCTTTTTAAAAATTGTTATAAACCTTCCTTTGTTATGTATATTACCATTTGCATTAAAACTAAACAAATACACCTGTTTAACAGACCAAGATCAAACTGACTCACACTTGAAAACAAGAAACTCTAAAAAAACCCTTCAAGGTAAATTTCAATATTGTCTTCCACTATAGCCTGTTGCAAGCATCTATCCTCAGAAGTGGCTTTTCTACATGGAGGTTCCATTTTTTTCCACCATCGCTATTATCCATTAACAGGCCTGCCCTGCTCCATGAAAGTTGTCCAATTGCTTTTGAACCTTCCCTATTGTGTGGAGAATTACTTAAGTTAATGAAGCACTGCATGCATAATTTGTCCTGGCCTACCTTAAATCAATTTCAATTCTAATATTTCCAAAATGAGTTCTCCATCCATCATTTAATTTAAAAAACTGTATTTCCATCAATGTTTATCCCCCCACCCCCATAAACCAAGAAGCCCTGTTAAGTGCTCTAACATCTAGATTATATTATCCCTTTTCTGTAGCTTTTTAGGGTGTACAATAGCATTTTTAAGATGGAATAACCAGAATTTTCTAAATGTGGCTTCAAATATTTACATGGTAGCATGGTGACACCACTAATTTTATTTACAGTTTCTTTCCTACTGGCTCCCACTAGCAAGTTTTCCTTTTTAACTGCCACTGCACTGAAGCCAACAAACTTTCCAGCACAATTTCCAGCACAAACATTAAAGATTTTGTCATTTTGTTGTCCATTTACCTACTTTAAAGACCTCCTTTGAAATTTCACTATCCCTGAAACTGAGTGCCATCTGGAACCTTGACTACTCACCACTCTCTTCCCCTCAGTCATATATGATGAAGATAGATGGTCATGAATCCTATGAAAGATCCAAGGAACTCATTGGTGTAGCGGTTAGAGTTAGACTAGGGAGACCAGGTTTGAATCCCCACTATGCAGTGGAAGCTTGCTGGGTGACCCTGAGTAAGTCAGATATTGTCTCTTTTAACCCAACCTACCTCACAGGGATAACACTCTATTGAGGATAAAATTGAGACAGTAAGAACAACATTGGAAGCTGCTTTCAGTCCTCAATGGGAAAGAAATCAGAGTATAAATACCTAAATAACTAAAAATACATTTATTTCAATGCTCTGCTTCCTGTTTTGACACCAATTATCCATCAGTCCACTTATCCCGTGATTGCTAAGTTCTCTAAAGAACCTTTGAAGGGTGTTAAATGCTTCCTGAAAGTTCATGCACACCAGATCATTCCTGTCTTTACATTTGTTTGATCAAGTACAGATTCTTTGCTGCTGTCATCCAACAGGATTCCAACATGAGCTGATTCACTTGGCTGAATCACTGTAGAGGAAATATCAACCTCTTAGTGGCCTCAGAGTCTTAACAATAACTAAGTTAAAGTCATCTCAGTTATGAGTGCATACACAATGCTGAAGATTTTACAGTGTTTTATAAATGCATTGCCATCTCTTTATGAATATATGAGAAAGCAGCCGAATAGTGAAGCCTTTTGTGCATGGCCTGCCTATTGCTTTGGAGAAACTGGAGCTACATACTATATTATATATGGAAAAAGAATTACAGTGCTTACTCAAAAGGAAGGGGACCCTGAATATAAAATAACCTTCCACAAAAGGAAGGGGACCCTGAATATAAAATGACCTCTACACTACTTCACTTTTTTTAAATTACAGACATAACTGTACCTTGAATGTGAGAGTAAGACAACCCTCTCATTTTTGAGATAGCACACCTGGAAAAAAGCTAGCAACATTTCGATAAATACAGTACTGAATTTGGGACTAAGGTAAACTGTTCTCTCTATTTCAGCAGAGATGGAATGATACACTGCAGCTGAGCAGTGAAGCCACTGGGCACTACCAAAATCATACCAAATTCACCATCAGTAGGTTTCAATCTCCGTTCTCTGGATAGCCTGAGATACTGAACTAATAGGGGTGTGCACTTGGTATATACCAAGCCGAATAAATAGTGGGTTGGTATTTTGGGGGTATTTATTCAGCCAAATACAGACTGGAGAATCTGATTCAGCTACCAAAATAGCTGCACCTGAATAAAAGCCGATATTATTTGGCTTTTATATGGGCATAGCTAGAAGACATTTCTCCTGTCAACCTAGCACTTCAAAAGCAAGAAATTGCAAGTAGATAAATAGGTACCACTTAGGTGGGAAGATAACAGCGTTCCGTGCACCTTGGCGTCTAGTCATGCCGGCCATATGACCACGGAAATGTCCAGCGCTAGCTCTTCGGCTTGGAAACAGAGACGAGCACTGCAACCCTAGAGTCGGATTCGACTGGCTTTCGAGCAAGGGAAACCTTTACCTTTACTAGAAAACATTTAAAGAGACCCCCATCTCTTTAAATGCCTTCTGAATTCACTCGCTGAGCCATGCTGCTGCTGTGGCAGCGGCACAACTCAGCAAGCGAACTCAACAGGCATTTAAAGAGACTGTGGACTCTTTAAATGCCTTTTTTCCTCTACTGGTTTCAATGGAGGATGGGGGCATCTTTGGAGGTCCACAGAATTTGACCACCTGGTACAATCTTTTTAAAACTTGGGAGGGGGGGTGAGGAGAGGCACCAGCAGCTATGTTGCAAATCTGGTACCGCTACCTCAAAAAAACACCCCCCGCCCCAAATACCCCTGGAACAATTCTCCATTATACCCTATAGGGGTTCATGGGGTATAATGGAGTCGAATAAATTTAGGTTTCCCGAATATTTACCTGAATCCCCATCCAATCCCAATATTGGTATTTGGGAATATTCAGTATACCAATATTTTTCGGGTCCAATAGACCAAAATCAGGGGGGAAATGAATTTTTTGCACACCCCTACTAGACACTGCAGTCCTATGAATGAGTTGGGTTACTGCCAAATTCATATTATTATGGGCACAGGAAATTACAAGAACACTACAGGTAGATGGGGGCTGCCACTTCCTGCCCCAGCTCCCAGAACCAATTATCTCCTATTAGAACGACCATGGTTGGAAGAGAAACAGACTATACTTTTAATTGCCCCTACCCATAGGGCACAAGATAAAACTGAATCTAGACTATATGTCAGTTGGTATAGGAGATGTTCTCTACAGGGCCAACCTACATGTTTTAGATAGCCTGAAACTATCTTTATCCAAGTATGTAAAGAGCCTAAGGATGGTTTCTTATCCACAGTCCCTTACTGAAAAATAAGTACAGGTTGTATTAACAACTTCTTTTTTCCCAGCTGCATTTGGATGGGAAATTATAAATTCAGCTGATCCACGCTACTGTAACCTCCAGGGCTGGATTACTATAATGTGCTTTATATGAGTCTGCCCTTTGAGACAACTCAGAAGCTTCAAGCTGGTACAAAACCCAGTTGCTCATCTGGTTACTGTGCAGGGCAATTTAAGGCCACCACCAAACAGTGGAGCAATTGCACTAGGCTTCCATTTTGCATCCAGGCTCAATTCAAGGTGCTGGTTACTACCTTCAAATTCTATCACAAACAGAGCCCCTATGTCCAAAGGACCAACTGTCATGGTATAAACCCGTGCACCCCTTGAGATCAGCCCAACCAGCTTTTTTGACCACCCCTTTATCATGGGTAGTCCAGCTGGCCTCAGTCAAAAATATTTACAGTTCCACCCCCATTATTAAGAGCATATATCTGATCCCTTTCTCTTTACCCTTCTAGAAACGTGTTGGAATAAACTATTCCAGAATGCTTGTGTAGATGGCTAGTAGACTGAGGAATTCTGAAAACTGTTAACTTTGTTACACCTGTTGACTGGCAACTTAGTAATAAGGCCTACTGGGAAAGATGCAAGGGATGAATGTCTCCAATTGCCTATTATAGATTATGGTTTTGAAAAAAAAAATAAACTGTAGATTTTGTTCTATTTTATTGTTAGCTGCCATGAGGATGAAAGGATGGGATATAACTAATTTAATTAGTACCGGTAACATCCTACCTTGGCTCTCTGTCTAAGCATGGATAAGCGGTAACATCCTACCTTGGCTCTCTGTCTATAGGGGAAAGAGAAGTGAATTTAAGCAAGCCAACGTACTCAGCTGAACAGACAGTAAAAATAAGATTGCAAATACATTGGTGTGGATCCATCTTCAGACTGAAGAAACTTTCTCCAGCCTAACAAGCCTTCATCTGATTCGAATTGTTCTCCTAGTGGAGAAAGAACCCCTCTCATTGGAAGAAAGCTTTGGACTTTGGCTTCCACAGGACCATCTTCTAAAAGGTACAGACAAACTTACCATATGGAAACTGTGCTACTGAATAACTTCGTCAACTTGCAGCAGTTTCAATTATGCTGTTGCAACTGAAGAATTAGACCTAGTTGCCCTGTGCAAGGGAGATCTATTGCAACATGTGATTGAGCAATGCTGCTCCTCCAGGCAAACATAAGTCAGCTGCTTTCTCCTAAAAGGGCAGTTTTACATCTCATCCTTCTTCAGTCAACTAATGGGTAGCAGTCTTGGGGAAGCTGCTAACCCCCAGGCCACCTCACAGCAGGTAAATTATAGCATTTCTAACAGCCTTGCCACCGAGGAACTATGCAGCTGGGCACTAATTTTGCTAAACTCAGATAATGGCAGCCATCTAAATAAAGTGCTGCCATTAACTTTGGTGAGTTGACACGAATTCTACTTAAGGTCATATGATTCATCTTCCCCGTTCTAATATATTTCTCACCACAAGCATTATTAAACGTAATAAAAGCATTCCTTGAAAACAGAATTACTTTCTTACTGATTGGTTATTTACTAGAAAACAGAAGGCTGGTCCATCTCTAGGCAGAAAGCAAGCTACTCCAAGCCTTGACTCTGGGTGGAGTCCAAAGAGGGAGAACACCCTAAGGCCCACTTCTCAAAGCAAGTCAAAATGTTCCAACGGGAGAAGGTATCAGTGCTATGTTAGTGTGACAGCAACTCTAAATATAGCACAAGTTTACACATCTATATCTATCATGCAACATCAAGACTCGCATGAGAACTGAGGGTGCTGAGAAGTTCTCTTACCCCTCTTACAGAACAACTATCGGACCAACAATATGACAAGAGAAAACAGAAATGAAGAGCCAGTGTGGTACAGTGGTTAGTACTGGACTAGGGCAGGGGAAGACCTAGGTTCAAATTTGTACCCAATTATGGAAGCACACTGGAGTGTGGAGGACTTAAAGCCAGCCACTTTCAGTCATCCTCACTTCACAAGGTTGCTGTAAAGATTAAAAAATTGGGGAGGGGGACTGCTCCCACTGCTTTGATCTCCTTAGAGGAAAACTGAAATAAAAAAAACATTTAGAGGAAAGCTAAACAAGGATGTTTTCTGAACATAGTTAAAGTCCAGTGGTACTTTTAAGACCAACAAAGTTTTATTCAAAGTAGACGCTTTTGTGTGCATGCGCACTTCTTTAGATACGTTGAAATTAAAGTTATCAGTTCATACAGGCAGAGGATGAGCAGCAAATTAGCATACAATATAATTCACCTTTTAACAGATTCAAGGACCAAACAGGAATAACAAGCTTAGTTTAGATGGTTACCATTTGTTTGGGTTTAATTCTGGTGGAAAATACAGTAAATGTATCAAAATTGGAAATTGATGGACAGATGTACCCTTTTTAATTGTGAAATGCTGAGTAATTACCTGAGACCCTGGAAAAGGATTCTTTCTGTTTCACACCATGTTTTATGACAAGAAAGATCAGAACCACATAGTCTGTCACCTATCTTGCAGGAATAGTGCAAGGACAAGAGAAAGCTGATTTTCCATCTCTACTGTTACAACTCATCAGTTACAATCCTAGCCTACCTTACAGGGCTGTTGAGACAATAAGCTGCAGTTACTCCCACCAACATTCTGCGAGGTAAAGTCAGGACCTGGGGAGACCTGCTCTGTTATGAAGCTTATAGGGAAAGCATCTGCAAATTAAAATCGTTCAGCCTACTCTACAGGACTGGTGTAAGGATGGAATGGGGCTAACTCACACGTAAACCAGGATTTGGACAAGGGAGACCTTGGTTCAAGTTCACACTCTCTAACAAAGCATGCAGAACAAGCATGGGCCAGTCACCATCCCTCAGCTTAATCCACTTACAGGTAAAAAAAACGAGAAATGTACAGTCCCTTGAAGGGCAAAGTTCGACTGTTACAATCAAAAATCATCTTTATAACGTAAGTACACGGCGTCCTGGAGACAGCCAGGGCGGGACGGGAGAGAAATGGGGCTGAACTGTCTTTCTGGATGAGTGACAAGATTTCTCACCCATCCCCACAAGGGCTAGCACAGAGCCAAGCGGGTGCCGCTGCTAGCCAACCCCAGTGGGGGGGAAAGCTGAGCAAATAAAGGGTGTGGGACATACGACGCTCCAAACGGCCGAGCCAGGAAGAACGGCACGGCCGAGCCTGACCCTCAAGAGCCTTGTAAAGGGAAGGGGGGGGGAAGGAAATGGGGGGACCAAGAAACAAGATGGAGACTTCAGCAGCTCCTGAACAGGCACATTTGCCACAGGCCCCCCAGCCCAGCCCAGCGCGTCGAGCCGCCCCTATCCTTCCTCTTCTCCTCCCTCCCCTATCACCCACAAGGCACAACCTGCTGGCCCTCGTCGCTCCCCGTTTCGGTTTCCACCGCCTTCTTCTCCTCCTCCTCCAGCTGATCGCTCGCTGCCTGAACTGACAATGGCGGCCGCTCTAGGGAGGGGAGGAAGGAGACACCCCAGCGCTGCCTCTGCCAATCGCAACGGCGCCCGCGGCCTTCGTTCGTCACCCCTCTTCGCCTCAGCCACTTCTCGCGAGAGAAAAGGACAGCGCCTCGCCCGAGCCTTATCTTGGTTTGAAACGTCGAGGTGACAAACTCTCGCCCGCAGGCTGCCGGGAAAGCGGAAGAACCGACGACTAACAACAGCCACTCCTCCTACCCGCCCGCCCTACCCCTTATGCTCTGACGAAGGATGTACGTCACCCGCCGGCACGACGCAGTTGGATTTTTTTTTATGTTGTAACAAGCCTTGCGTCTTAGCAAGGAAGGTGTGCCTGAAATAAAGTAAGTAAACACCGTAAACTTGCATCATAAGCCAGAACTCACTTCATCATATGCATGCACGCATTAAGGTGATCCTTGTTCAAGATCCAAAATATTTTGGTAGATTTTTAAAGAGATACTACACTACTGTTGTTTGGGGATTTTTTTCCGAGATCAGCACTACCCAGGATTTTTGACCACTGGGTACAAATTACTTTTCCTTGAATGAACTTTTTACATATGTGGTAGTCATGTTTTCCCCGGAGAGAGCAACATTTATATTCAAAACAGCCAGCAGGAGGTTGGGGGGAAAAGACCCCCTCCATAAATTGTTCCCTTGCAAAATGCACCCACCCAACAGAAATATAAAGAGAGAACAGAGAGAGGTGAAGTCTAGGCCAGGGTATCTGAGGAGACATGTAAATAGCTTTTTATAGATGCTCAATAAATGTTTATATAGGTGCTGTTGCACACTGGGGGTGTGGCACAGCCAGCCTAGGTGAATTATAGAATCATAGACTCATAGAGTGGGAAGGGACCTCCAGTGTCATCTAGTCCAACCCTCTGCACAATGCAGGAAATTCACCAATACCCCACACACGCCCCAGTGACCCCTGTTCCATGCCCAGAATATGATTTTAAAAACCTCCAGGATCACTGGGGGCCAAACTGGCCTGGAGAAAAATTGCTTCCTGGCCCCAAAGTGGCGATCAGCATTTCCCTGGGCGTGTAAGAAAGGGCCACAAGAACTAAGCACTGATGCAACCCTTCCTGCTCTACCTCTCCTGATTTGCCTAAGTTCACACAATCAGCATTATGATCCTTTCAAAGTTGAAAGCATGATATAAATGCAAAGGACTATTTGTAAGATTATCTGTAAGACACAAGACCAGGACACATCTCACTTCTGGCAATCACTTGGAGAGACCCTATCACTCAGCTTCCATTGCCCCACACACACCCCACACTGGAATAAGAACATAATATCAGGCCATACCACATTGCAATAAAGCCCCTACAACTGTATACAGAAATACAGAAATACTTCCCTACCATTTGCCACAACTAGCCCACCACACAACCAGGATCAAGACTCCTAAGTGGACCAACAGACAGGCATACACTCGTTTGAGAAACTGAGTATTACATTACAACACCTCTGGAACATTACAGATCAGTAGAGGCAGCACTGCACAGTGGTCAGAGTTGCAGATTGATGTGGGGAGACCCAGGTTTGTATTCTCACTCTGCTGGCTGAGTGACCCCGGGCCAAATCTCCCCTTCTCTACCTAACCTACCCCACAGGGTTGTTGTGAGGATGAAATGGAGACTCATGGGCAGGGTCCCCAGCTTCCCTGGCAGGAACACTATGTTAAGAAATCTCTCACAATTATGCAGCCATAGCAGGCAGGAGGGAAGGAGGCGAATACCTCCAGCGCCAGAGACTAGTAGAGGAAGAGTGAAACTTTGGGGACGCACCCGTGCACCAGAGGGCCAAGGCAGCAGGAGGCAAGAAGCCTGGGCGAGCTGGGCTCCTCCATGCCTGGCAGAAGATGAGGGGCAGAGGCGAGAGGTGGGC